AGGTCCATTCTCAGATGGCCCGCTTGTGATTTGCTGTCACTATTGTGGGCGGTGTGTTGAGTGGACACCAGCTCTTCATCCTGATGTTGCTCTGGTGTCGTTGTGAAGCTACTGTGTTGAGGGCAAGATTATTCTGGGAAAAAGTGATGTTCAATATTCTTTCATAGAATGTGGATTTTACTAAAGTTGTTAAGACCCAAAGAAAAGTCAATCACGTAAAGTTGTCATCTGCTTCCTGGGGCACAGAGAAGGGTGGAGGTCGGGAAGGGCAGATATCTTCTGGGGCTGCCTAGGAACCACATGAAGATTTTGGAAGACACATCAAAACCCCATGCTTCACATTTGCGATTTCTGATCTAACTCATCTGGGTGCTTTGCAGGCATCAGGAATCATTTAAGCTTTCCAGATAACTTGACTATACTCCGAAGACTGAGGGTGACAGCATCCATCCTAACATTCCACTACGGAATCCACACAACACCCCAATCGCTTTGTGTGTCTTCTCCTGTAGGGAGGCATGTTATTTGTTCTCAAATTATTCCCATGGCCAATCAAGTACCTCCACAGCTGGCAAGAAGCCACTGCCACCATATGCCATGCCATGTGGCCGTGTATTTCCTTTTTCCCCCTGTTGCTATCTCTCCAGCTCCTTCCTTTACTCTCAAAACAAGATGGTTGGCACATGGCCTGAACGCCTTGAGGAAAATATCAAGTCCCTCCCTCGGCCAAGAGCCAAGCTTGGCATTCCCCAGTGTGCAGCGACCACAGAGAACATTCATCTGCGTGTGTTGCAGGAATAGTAGCATCTCCTGAGATGAAAAATCATGGACCATGATCCTTACGCAGCTCCAATCTCCTCAAAACAGTATCAGATGGCAGGTGAGTTACATCTGGCCATAGGTCTCCCTACACCCACCCTTCATACCCTCGCCATTCAGTACCTATGTTCTTAACTGAGCTCCAAGAGAAGGCCCTCGCCTCAGCCCATGGGAGACAGGAAGGTAGCGAAGACGACACCTGCTGTGTTTTCGAAGGAGGTCCTACAGTGACGGGGTGTTGGAGGCCATGTGAATGAAGGCAACTGGAGTGACCATCATGAGCCAAGAGCATGGCTGAGAAGTCACACTGTATCTTAGGAATCCCAGTGAGGAAGCGGGAGCTGGAGGCTGTTAGTGAATAGGTTAGGATGGGCTGGGTCCTGCCACAGCAACAGTCTCCAAGTTTCGGTGGCAACCGTCTATCTCCCACTGTGTGACACCACAGGGACTAAGTAAGTAAGTGGGGATTCTGCTCTATGCTGTCCTAACACAAACACAGAGGGATAGGCCTCCTACCGCCTGGGTGAGCCACATCTACTGTGGCAGGGAATCAGAAAATGAGGCGAGGCTTGACTTCTATTGGCTCCCACTTGGGAGTGGCACCTCACTGTGGTCCACATTGAGCTAGCTGCATGGCAGGGCTTCTCCTAAAGCACTGCTCTCCCATAGACCCAGAGGGAGGGAAACTGGAAACCTTGGGGAAGGGAGGCCTTAAATATATCACCAGGTACCTTGAATTAAAGCTTTAAGTGACAAACACACCGATGAGATGGAGTTATAAGGAGGCCCAGAAGAACGCTTACTCCCTTGCCTAGAAGAACCTTTTATGTCTTTTACAAAGAAGATACAATTCTTATCTGCTGTCTGCTATGGCATAAATTTATCGTGGACTCCTAAGCCCACCCCACCCCCCACCATTCGCCCTTCAGTGCTGGAGGTAAATACAAGCCAGGGGGTTGCTGCCCACCTCCTCGGCTCAGATCTAGACTGGGCGCTGGTCTGCTGCTGTCAGGAAGAAACCTGCTGTGCTCATCCTCATATGAATTCTGGACACATTTCTCAATCGATTGACTCCCAAGAGAAAGAAATGGGATCTCTGCTCAGACTGGTTCCCACCCTGTGGAAGAAGACAGAGGTGTCAGGCTTGTCGGGGACAGACACAAATACTGGAAAAGAAAAGAATTGTAAGAACCAGGAATAGGGCTGCTGGGATGTTTCGGTGGGTAAAACCACTTACATCTAAGTGTGATGACCTGATCTGATTCCCAGGACACACATGGTAGAAGGAGACAATGACTCCTTCATATTGTCCTCTGACCTTCACATATATGCCATCACATGCACACCCTGGCTAAAAGGACGGGTGCACTATAGCAAGATACACAGTAAGGCACACAACTTTTACAGTATTGTACAGTGTTGACAAGGTTCTTTTTGTAAAGCATCACTTGCTTTTGTTTGTCTCTTCTTGTGTTTATGAATTAGTCTTTAAGCACACATACGCATGATATGTGTAAGGTTTGCCACCTTCTTTGCTCTCAGGCACCTGCTGGAGGTGTGTGAGTGTGTCTCTCAACAAGAAGTGGGCACAACTGCGTTGCTGAGGGAGTAGGGTGCGGTAGAGAAGAGGAGGGTCCCACTTCAGCACCCTCATTACCAGTGTGTAAGCAAGACCTTGACACCTCTGTCTGCTTCATCTCTCAGCTCCAGGATCTGAGACCATCAGTAAATCAAAGTCCTGGAGCTCCCGGAACAAACAGATGAGTTCTTTATGGGAAATACTTGATCTGGCAAAGTGAGTCCTGGGTGGTTTGATAATTCAAGCTTCCATGGAGAAGTTACTATCCATATGAGCTGTGTGTACAGACACCTGGACTTTTCAAAGTCTGAGAACTACATACTGGCTTCTTTCTGCATTCTTTTCTCTCCTTACATGTCCCTAATAACCAGTTCTTCATGATATATATTTGGTGACTTCACTTTGGTGCAAGGGGCTAATATATTCTTTCATATCTTTCTGTCTTTATTTCCTTGTGAAACTCAAATTGTATTTGCCCTGGGATTTTTTAATAAACTTTTTTTATTATTTTCATTCTCACTGGGCTGGCTTTTATTAGCATTATGCATTCCAATTTCTCAATTTCCTCAGGGTTCCTTGGGTCATATCCTCTGCATTGGGTTCCAGATGATTATTATGACCTTCATAAACTATGGTGATTCAGATAAAGCACTGTGGTTGACAGGATTATATCATACCTTAGGTTGGGGCGTGCCTGCATTTTCTAAGAGTCCCTTAGTATTGTGGCAGAACTAGTTATGTTTTCAGATTAGTGTTGTGGAAATGGTCAGAGTTGCCATGGTCATGGTGTCTCTTCACAGCAATAGAAACCCTAACTAAGATAACAACTATCACATGCTATGTTTCATTTGTGTATTCTAGATTTCATATAGCTGCATGAACATGCACACATGCATGCATGCACACACACACACACACACACACACACACACACACACACATGCATAACATGCACCCTGCAGAAATGCCTTAAATTGACAAGCTATCTTCTGCTAATCTCTATTAATGAACAAGAAGTAGCTAGGTAAGAACAACTTCAGTGATGAGGACAAGATGTTGGCAAAATAACTGTTTTCTGTCGTGCTCAGTGATAAAAGAGAGGTACCTAGAAGTCCTCAGCAAGTGATGCTCCCGAGCTGAGGAAGAGGGGAACTCGTGAAGTCGTACCTGCATGTTACACCCCTGCATTGGGTGTATGGGTCATCTCTTATGTATCAAATCATTAGAACTGCTGGAAAATGCCCGGAGTCTTTTCTAGAAAATAATCGTAGAAAAATAGTCTTATCTACTTTCCAGGGTTTCTGTAATGGCATGCCATGGATTTATTATTTCCCTCATTGATGTGATTAAATATCTGAGCAAAATCAACTTAAGACAGGAGGGGTTCGCAGTACATCCCCTCCCTCCCTGGTGGGTGAAGCGTGATTTGAGGCTACTGCTGAAATTGCCCAAAGATCAGGCCACATAATCCCTCCAATCCCAGGTCAGCATGGAAAGCTCCACCCATAAGAAACACTCTATAAACCCTGCCTTCTGCTCAGTCCTATGCTGCTTCTCTCCTAACAAAGGCAGTCACCCTCTTGAGTTTTTCTCCCCTAATAAAATCTCTTATGTGACTTTTTTGTGTGTGTGTGTGTGACTTTGTGGTGTTCCTTGACTCCCGACGGTCAGGATATCTTTCCCATTCTAGCTGTAACACTTATACAGAGGACAGCTTAGGGTGTCTTCAGGCATCTTTTACCCTTTGTTTGAAACAGGGTCTCTCATTGGTGTGAAGTTTCTCCAAGGAGGCCAGGGCAGCTGGTCAGTGGGTTACTCATAGTGGGATCACAAGTGCATGCCACTATTCTTAGATTCGTACGTGGAGTTGGGGATGTGAAGTCAGGAAGTCAGGTCCTTGTACTGGCAAGACAAGTGTTTTACCAACTGAGCCCATTTTTTTCCTTTTTATTCATCTCAAGATGTCACTCAGTCAACAATGCCGCCCACATTCAGGGTGGGTCTTCCTGCTTCAGTTAAACCTGTCTGGAAATACCTGTATAGATATACCCACAGATGTATTTTCACGGTGGTTCTAAACTCCATCTTTTTGAATAAAAATGAATTAGTACATGCAATAAAGCTGATGACTCAAAACATTAGAAATGTATTCTCTCATCTTTTAGAGGTTATAATGAAAAACCAAGGTACCAGTCTGCCTATTGTCTCTCTCCAGACATTTGCTTCTCCAGCTTCTGGTGCTTAGTTACCAGTGATCCATGGGACTTCTTGACTTGTAATTGTATCACCCTTTATGTAATCATGTATCTCCCTGTTTGTCCAGACTTCCCTCTCACAATAAGGACACTAGCCACTGGATTCAGCTTGACTTAAAATGTCCTCTTATTAATTTAATTGACACCCAGGGACTCTGCTCCCAAGGCAAGTCACATTCATGGCTTCTGGAGGTTGGGAGAGGAGCACATCTCTTTGGTTGAACTGGTACCAACCACCATTTGTGGACGTATAGTTGCTCCCTTACTGGAGGACCGTCTGGAACCCATCTCCATCCACCTCACAGATGCATCAGTAGTAATGACACACTCACCTGCCCCAGTTCTCTCCTGGTTCTTTGTTGTAACAGCCTCCCCCTGCTTGTCTTTCAGTCTCTCTTCGTTATCCCAGGGAATTTTTCTAGGGCTCAGTTAGATCACGCAACTCTGTCGCTCAGAATCCACCAACAGCTTTCTATTTCATACATTATAAATTCATTTTCTGCTATGATAAAAATACATAATAAATATCTGCTGTGTGAAATTTGAGGTCCCATATGATATGATCTAATATTGTAAGACAATATGTTCATTCTGATCCATGTAGCCTCATCTATGGTTGTGCTTGTGCCTAAACTTTTCAATTATTTATGAATGCCTAGAACAGACCACACCACCAATAAATGCTCTAGATTACAAAAAAGAATGTATTTCCAATGATTAAATAGAATTCTTAACCACTAGCCAGTAAAGACATGAGACCCACGCTAAGATTTCTGTCATCACAGAGTCCTCTCGGATGAGTCAGGTCTGGCTTTCTGCTTGCAAACTTGACCTTTCACTGATTTAAACTCATCACAAATTTCTCATATCAATGACTGAATGGAGGGAAAAGATGCCTCTTCTGTTAAGAAGAAGCAGAGGTAATTGATTTCCCTCTTGAAGCCCCCTAGTAGAGTACAGCGCATCTGGGCTGTGATGCCCCTCTCTCTTGTTCTCCCTCCTTAGAGGGCAGATGTGCATCTGTAACTCACTGCACCAGACAGGCACTGCTGCACCCAGGAACTGAGGATGGGTAAGAGCCTATGCCCGCTTCTTCAAGATACAGCTGTGTGAGTCAGAGGTGCTGTACCACTAGTTACAGAGGTTTCCATGGCAACCCCATCCTTCCTGAGCAGCATTGCTAAGTGGTGACCTTGAAACAACACCCATCTGGGAGATAGTGTCAGCTCAAAGGTTCGGCTCCCTTTTAGACTTCATTTCTGTACCTCCAAGTATAAAGGAAAAGTGATTGATGTCCGAGGGAACAGAAGCTACAGCCTTCTAGTTGATCTCCACAATCCACCTCTTCTCAGTACCTAAATAATCCTGCACTTATTTTATATCTTGATTTTATTTTTCGTTGGTAGAAGTAGTTACAAGTACTTTGCCCACAGGGAAGAAATTTTCTGTAAATTACTTCTGGAGAAACCAGGTCACCGTCCCCAAACACACGAACTATAAAGCATGGAAGTTTTTAGGCGGCCAGGAGAACACATATCTAGAAAACCAGAGTGAGGATAGATGTCCTTCAGAGTGTGGCATGCTTCACATTTTGCAGGTGCCAGAAAGGGAATAGGATGGAGTCTACGTGAAATCAATCCCAGAGTATTGTAAACTGCGCGTTCATTGCAGAAGCAATATAGGAGAAAAGCTTGACAATAGGCTTTGCATTGATAAAGGGTTTCACAGAAGTCCTTTCCGTTTTAGGGAAATGGGTAATTTCTTTTCTTGAGGGTTTTTTTTTTTTCCAGATGGACCATTAAACTGATAATACCTTAGAACTCATCTGTAGCCACCAGGCTCTGATTGGGACAAAAAGATCAGACAGGGCCACTAGGTCACCTGCTTCTTTATAGAAGAATGGTGGGGCATCTTCTTCTCACTCACCAAGACTTTCGATTGCTGTGAACAGTGGGCACATACATCCCTGGCTGGAATCCCTCTTGACCGTGACCACTGGAAGATTCCAAGTTGGGGGGACCTGGATCTGAAGGCTCTCAACTCAACCCACATTCATGACTTACAAAAGCTATTAGTCAGATAAACCAAAAAGATATTTTCAAAGTGTAAGATTCCATAAAAGTTTGAACATTCGTCACTACTAGCCACCAGCGGAAAGCTGGAAGGGAGTCAACTTATATTACATTTAATTAATTTGCTTTGACTCATCCATATGGTGTTCACACTAGCTGCCAGCACGCTCCTGGCTGGGGAGGAATTGTTTTGTGGGTGGGATGCGGTTGCTTCGCAGGCTCATAGCTCAGTGCTTTATAATGTTTCTTTTTGTTTTAACTGCAGTTCAAGGTAAATGATCAATGGATGGACTGAGCTCAGACATGTCTGACAGTTTCTCAGGCTGCACAGAAAAGACAGGAGTTGATGTCTACATTCAGCTCAGTCCAGTTTCTGAGTTCTTGATGTTAACCGACGTTTCCAGTAAAGAGCTACACCTGAGGAGACGGCTCATAGATAAAGTATCCATCCTGTAAGCATGACTGCTGGAGTTGGGATTTGTAAACCCCATGCAAAAGCAGGATAGGAGGGGGAGCCACTTATAGTTCCAGCCCTAGAGGGTCAGAGACATGAGGTCTCCCCAGAGCAAGCTAGACGAGCCAGAATTTCTGAGCTCTGTTTTCAACAAGAGAGCCTGTTTCCATAAACGAGTGGGGAAGCAATGAGGGAGGACAGCCAAAGTCAGTTTGGTGCGCGCGCGCACGCACACACACACACACACACACACACACGCATACACACACACACGGACTGAGGGAGGTATAGGGAGGTACAGAAGGAGAGACGGGGTGGGCAAAACAAGAAAGGCACAACACTTATTATTAATTCTACAAGGGCAACTGACTAATCGGAATGTTGACAACTGTGAAGGAATTGAACTGTTGCATACCCAGAATTATCTCGGGCTATCTCAGCTCTCTAAAGAGTCATTTATTGATTAGCTCCGCAAGTGAACTGACATCTGTCTGTCTGAAATCAAACCTAAGAAACTCTGCTTCACCAAGTCAGACTTCGGTGGCGTCATTTCTTTGACTGGTCTGTCATAGGTGCCTTACCTTGGGGGATTAAGTATTTACTCATGATGCCCCAGCCAAGATAACCCAACAGATTGGTAATGACCTTGGGGCCCAACAGTTTACCAAGGAGGTATGGGTAATCCTCATTTCACGTCCACTGTTACGGAGGAAGGGACTTCCCTAATGGTGTAGCCAAGGTTGTCTGTAGATGCAGGCAATGCAGTGATTGGAGGTCTCATGTTCAATTGGGTCTCTTTTAATGTGAAGAATATGTGGGCCTGAGCAGATGCTTGGGCCAGATGAATCTTGGCTTCTGGAAGCCTCCAGGAGCATCCACTTGGATAATCATATGTAGTATGTGGTGGTGTGCTGTCTTACTATGGTAGCAGGTGCATGGACTTTGACGTGAGCAATTAAACATCTAACCAAGGCTGAGCCGTGTGAAGGAAGAGTGTTCTAAAGTGTTGATGGAGTGGAAAGCTCGTCTGTGGACCACTCTCTGGAGCATGGCTGTTGGTGACTCTTGTTCATTGTCAAGATAAGGTAGTAGTGATAAAGGTTACAGTTGCAGCCGTAGCTGGACCCATCAGGTCTCCAGCTCTGTCTGTTACTGGCTCCATCTAGCTTTGGGGAGAGAGGAGAAGGAGCAGATGCAGGAAGACTGATAAGGGTGAGAGTTTTGTAGGCAGCTTGGGGGACCAAAGCAGATATACTGGACTTCAAGCTTAAAGAGGTACCTGGGGATTTGAACAACTAATTGGAACTATCACAGAAATGTGTCTATTTTTATCAGCAAGCCCATGGTTATTGCACATAAAATTTCAATGTTGTCTCGTCAGACTTCGCAGATATTAACTCCAAACGCTGATATGATGAATTGGGTATTTTAATGGGTGCTTTTGGTAGGGAGAGACATACTACAATATCAGTGGCAAGGACTACTTTAGCCAAACAACATCACACATGTCAGCTCTTTCTGTCTACGCTGTTTGAAAACTGACAATCAGAAAACTGAGAGTCATTAGAACATGGGGAACTATTGCTCTATATTAATTTCCTTTGGTGTAGGCACAAGAAAGAATGAAGGTATCTTAATCAACTGTTCCACTGCTGTGAAGAGACACCATGACCAAGGTAACCCTTAAAAAGAGAGCATTTAGCTGAGGGCTTGCTTATATTTCCAGAGGGTTACTCCATGGTCATCATGGTGGGTAGCAGACAGACATTGGCCTGGAGAAGTAGCTGAGAGTTGTATATCCTGATCCACAGATGACTGTTAGAAAGAGAGAACTTTTGAAAACTCAAAGCCCACCCCAGTGACACACCTCCTCCAGCAAGGCCATGCCTCCTAACCCTTCCCAAACAGTTTCACAAACTGGGAATTAAGCATTCAAACATAAGTGTCTATTGTGGGAGGCATTCTCATTCAAAATACCACAGGAGGGATGAACGTGGACAGAAATTAAATGTAAAAACTTCAAATCTGGTTAGATTTCTATTGCCTGCTTTTAAAATATTATGCAAAATGTAGCAGAATGAATATGACCTGCAATTTCATTTTAATTACTTCAATTAAAACTGTTGGGCTATGTGAAATACAATGTTGACATGCAAATTATTTTTGTCAAAGTTCACCAGCACTAAAACTCACTTTACCTCGATACCAGGAGAAAGTGTTTAGCTCCGATCTTTTTCTTTGAGAAAAAATTATGGTTATTAAGACAAAGATAGTGTGGCTCATGATTTAAAAGGAAGATGGGAAAATTCCTCTGCTCTTCCTTACCAACACAACTATGGTTTGTTAAGTGTCTGCATCATCTGAACTCCTGACAAGGGACCCCAGAGAGGGCTGGTGCATATGGACCCCTGACTTTAAGGGGCTCCCAGTCTGGAGGAGGAAATGGAGGCATATACAACAGCCTGAAATACATAATGTGTTTGAAAACACATATTAGCCCAAGAATAATCAAGGAAAGCTTCATAAAATGAATCTAGAGGGGTCCAGAGGCTGTTCACAGGAGCAGGAAAAGGTTTGATTTAAAAAAAAAAAACTAGTGTGTTTATTGCTGTTGTTAATATGTCATATGGGTCGCGCTTTGCTTTCACATGGCAGAAGATTTCAATTAAAAAAGCCATGTCCTTGTAATTGACAGTTGATATGTTCAGGGCTGACATGGTTTTAGTCTTGAGAATGTCACAGCCATCTTCAGACCCGGGGCCTGTGTTCTAATGACTCCTTGGAAAAGCTGTGCTGAATTGGGCTAATTGGCCCTCAGTGACTCTAGGCTTAACCCAGAAACAGAGAGTAAATCTTTACTGAAGTTTCTTACAAAACCACCAGCTACATTTTTATCTTGACTTGACCACCTGCCTTCTCCCAAACCAGCCACCCTAGCCAGGGGACAAAGGATCATTTCAGTCAGAGTTGAGTCAAACAGACACTTACGGAGTCAGCAGTCAACCCAGCTTAAACCAAACTGATTGACAGGGAGTCAGACGTGGCTTTGCATGAGACACTGGACTTTCAAGAAATGATGTCCACTCCTTTCTTGATCTCTAGCTAAGGAACCCTAGCCTCCCCTTCCAAACTCTTCCTCCTCTCTCTCTTCACGGCAGCTGATAGGACACCAGCTTTCCGTCACCGTTGTCTCTTCTCAAACTCCAGGAAAGTTGTCCCTGGGTTAAAAAAGAAAAAAAAGAAAAAAGAAATAAAAAAGCCCATATCACAAAAAAATGTGAGACTTTTTCGATTTCAAAATTGAGGCTCAAATCAATCTCTAAATGCACAAAAAAGCCTCCTCTGCTATGATTGCGGAGTAGAATTTCATGTTCCATAAAAGATCTAAAAATGAAAGCTGAGTTAGATTGCTAGATTTTATAACCTGCCATTTTCAGACAATGGGTAAGTGCTAATTATCTCTTCCACAGCCCTTTAAAAGGCAGAGTGTTATTTAAATAATTCTCCCAGAGATTCAAACACAGAGCGGGCGTGACAGTAACCACCCCAGAGAAGACGAGATCGTTCTCGATGGTTCTGTTAGGAGGTCTGGAACCCTAAAGCCTGGGTTGGAACCCTTATTTCATCTCTTCTGGGACATGTCATGGAGAATGAGCAATAATGGGCGTGTCTCCCAGGGTCTCTAACAAGAGTCAAAACATATTCCATAGCTGTGTGACTGGGTGGTAGCTGCATTCATTTGTCCTGAGGTTGACAGAAGCCCCTGTCTAGAGGAACAAGAACCTAAAGTCAGTGTAAAAGTTACTGTAAAGTATGAGGTGATGTCTGTCATAGGTTCTCTGAGGGAGGAACTGGTCCCCTTACCGGAAGTAGGAGCTGGTTCACAAAGCCACTGGCTGAGGCTTGCATGTCACGGGATGTTTGCCATGGGAAACCGGCAAGTGGGATCTTGGGACAGGATCTGCTCAGCTCCAAGTCTGTTGTGGGAGTAACTTCCGCTGCTTCAACCAATAATCACTGAAGCAGGAGCCCACAGTACAGCGGGGAGCGACTTCCGCTCTGTCAGCCAATAGCTGCTGAAATACCAGCCCACTGGGGCGTGGTATATTTCTCTCTTAAAAAGAGAAGCAGTTCCGGATAAGGCCCTCTTGGTTCCGGCTCTTGGTTCCGGTGCTCGGTCTCAGCTGCTGCTCCCGGCTCCTGCTCCAGCGACTAGGCTCCCTTCCTGACGGTTTATGGTGTATGTAAGTTTTACCCCCCGCCAAATAAATAACCCCTTAAAACATAACTGGTGTGGGATTGATTCGTTAATACAAGTCCCTCTTTTATAAGCTGACACTTGGCATCCTGTTTACTAATGTGTGGCTCTGTCCCTCTCTGGCCATGGCTGACCCAGGACACACACTGCATTGGCTTAACAGAGAGACTCAGATTCTCCTTCTGGAGACAGTCTGTCCCCTCAGGCCAGAGCAAATGCTGTGCACTCAAGGTCAAGCCGGCTTGGGAGTGACCATCAGGGTGCCTTTGGATTTGGTGCAATGCCGGATGAAGGGAGGCAGTGTGTAGAGAGATGCATGGGTGAAATAAAAGCAAAGTGAGATTCTTGAGAGGTCCTGTGACTGAGACAGAGACCCCCACAGCAGGCGAGCAGCTCCCTCGTCTGAGGTGCCTGAATGGTTAGCCATTTAATTTTTTTTTGTCCCTAATAAAACATCCTGCACTGAGCACTCCAGTCCCCTGGACAGTCGCGAAAAGTTCTAGAGACACAATGTCCTCACTCAAGTGATTGGTCCTTTATCCCCTTTTGTCATACCGGCATTCAGTTTTCTCCTCATCTCCCCTCATAATGGTGAATTTTTAAAAAATCTTTAACCTCCTTGGGAGCTTTTTCAGAAATGGCAAAGAACAGTTTCCCACCGCCTGCTTCACCACCTCCTCCACCCTCCCATCCACCTCTTCTCCCCCCTCTGACTCCACAAAGCAAGGATTAAGAAGACATGTTTCTGTTTCCTCACTTTCCTTACTCCAGATTCAGTGTGATTTGGAACCTTCATCCATCTGGTAAGTGAGAAACAGCCCGAGTCTTTGCTGGGTCAAGGATCCATCCAGACTGGCATTGCTCTGTGGGGAACTCCCCAGCATTTGGGTTACTGTCAGTCTCCTTGGGCCCCCTCCAGCTTGATACTGTCCTGAGAAGCAGTTTCTTTCTCTCCTCCTGATGCTCCTAAGGGACTCTAATTCTGGAAGCAAATGCCCAGAATGTGAAGACACATTTTACCCCTCATTTGAGAGTGCCCTTTCAGTTCTTGCTATGGGTTCAATTTCAACTGTACTATGCAAGCAATGACCTGGGTGTCTTTTTAAAATAAGATATATTTATTTTGTGTGTGAAACTGTTTTGCTTGCAGGTGCATTTGTGCCTCATGTGCATGCCTATGTTCCTCATGTGTATGCCTATGAACCTCACATGCATACCTATGAGTCTCATACACATACCTATGTGCCTCGTGCGTGTGCCTATGAGCCTCATGCGCATGCCTAGTGTTTAAGGGCATCAGATCCTCTGGAACTGGAGATACATACATTTGTGAGTTACCATGTGGGTGCTGGAAACCAAACCCTGGTCCCTGCAAGAGCAGCCTGTGCTCTTAAGGATGGAGCTGTCAGCCCAGCCCCCTCCAGGTGTGTTTGAAGGCAGGAGAATCCTTCTCGGCTCTTGAGTGAGCTTAGCTCGGGGATGTTGCTTCTGAGAAACTCAGTGGCCACCATAGTCACTCTGAGCCAGTGGTTTCAGATTCTAATTTTGAGAACTCGAAGGATGAAATCATGGAGCACAGAGAGTGAGTTTTATGGAGAAGTATTTTATTATAGTGAGCATAAGAGAAAGAAAATAGTGAAAGTTCCCAGACACAGGGGTCCCTGTTACTGGAGGTTGATAAGGCTTCTCTGGTTGAAGGGTTCCCAGGTGTCAGGTGTCAGCACTTTCCGTCATGTCCTCACTATGGTTTCCAGGAAGGGGTGCTCTTATAGGGGGAAGAGATAAAGGAAAACCAGATTTGCAGCTCCACCCTCTCTTGCAGTTCTGGCCTCTGGCCACAGAGGAACCAGAGCTGTTTGGGTTTAAATATGTCTGGCATCTCTGGCCTCTGGCAAGGATATGGCTACTGTCTGGCCCAAGGACATTTCCGGTTCTCTGTCAAGAAAGAAACTGATCCCCTTTCTTGGCATTTTTTCACCTTTAATGGCCAAGCCAGTTTCCGGCTCCTCTTCTCATCAACATTAAGTGAAAACATCTTTAAATGAATTTCTAGAAAGAATAATTCTCAACTGTGTTTGCCAAGCCCACAACTACAGGAGCTGCCTCTGTTATCACAGAAGTGATGGACAGATGAGGGCCACAGACAGCTTGCTTCCTCAAGAGAGATTTATCAAATACCAATGACAAGACCCCACGGCCATAGGGAGCGCAGCATTTCATTTCGCAGGTTCTTAGTCTAACCGATAAAAGAATTTAAAAGCAGGCTTAGGAGGGAACTCGGGGACAATTTTATCCTCTTAGCATCTTGGAAGGTCACATAAAGAATTTGGTTTTGGCTTGGCAGTACATGACTTCAGCATGTAAAAAATCAACTTTGACCTATTATGCTTAGTACAGGGCCTCATTCTGAGCTCACAGGTTTCTGTCTATTTTATGTGAGTATATATAAGCAGGCTACCAATACAAAGGAGCCAGAGATTCCAGGCTACACACCAGCAATAATGATCTCACAGCATTTGAGGGCAGGTGATGAGTTTTTCGAAGCGTTTGGTAAGGGTGATTAGTCTCCCTTCTGACCATCATGCATACCATCTTGTGCACATGTTAAGAACTCCTGAGTCGGAAAACTACACAGAGACAGGCTCCAGAGTTACGCTGATCCACAAATACAATTCAACTGTTCACCTAAGGTTTTAAGATCGGGCCAGTCCCATCATTTTCATATCTTATTAAAACCTCATAAATCTTTAGGACCATTTCATAGATAAGGAAATAAAGGGTGAAATAGTTCATTTGTGTTCACACGGTGACTCAATGATAGACTCTAGACCTGTCCACGTGCTTTCAAAGATGTCTCTCAGGTGTCCAGGAGGCAGGATAAGTGATAATGACAGAAGTAAGGGATCCAATGGTACGTCATTTTTATTGTCTGTTGCACCAATGCTAGGTGCCTGGACAGCTCCCAGAATGCCACCTTCCCTCAGAAGTCATTGGCAAACTATTACCAGGTTTCCCTCTGTGGCTTTGCTAGCACCACTGAGTCTCTAAAATCATGGAGCTTATGGGCAACCCTGCTCCTTGCTGGGAATGTTCACAAGGAACCTCCAAGAGTGACTCCTAAGAGTGAGGAAGGAGTGGGTAGAGGGGGAAACTGTGAAGACAGGGTGGGAGTCTGCTTCCTATTGGTCTGCCGGCCTTGCCTTCTTGTTGGATGAGGGCAGACAACCCCTTCCCTACATTTCCAACCCCCTCTCCCTTGCTTGAGTTTCTTCTTTGTCAAATATGGACACCCAAAGTCTGGTTTGATAGACAGGCAAACAGAAGCCCAGAATAGCGGGGAGAAAAGCCCCAGGTTGCACACCCAAGAATAGGAAGCAGACCTGTCGCTGCCGGGTTCTGGGAAGCCGCCCTCTCCATTCACACTCTGCCTTTTGGTTTCCGTGCGTCACTCTTTCTTTGCTCTTTAGAGCTGACAGTGATGAGTCAGGGTACAGCTTTGTGATGGAGGCAGACCATTTCTGGGTTCTAACGATTAGCTTCAGCTCCTCCAGGGAAAGCTGTGTGCCTGTTGTGGCACCATTTGGTGAGTCACACTCTCTCTGAGGCTCCTTCATTTATGGTCAAGGAAGGCTGCACAGTTCGCTCCTCTCCTACCGGAGGTGATGGATGTAAAGAACGTGGAATAATTTAATGGAAGCATCCCCTCCTGCCTTCTCCTTTGTTCTTTCTTCTCTTGAGTCTTGATAATGAACATCAAATCCCGAGCTTCAGGATTTTCTAGCAGCTAGCAGAGCTGAGTGTTCAGATAGTTGTGGCCTTGGCCTGGAGTCAAATTGAGTGGATGTGCCAACAAGATCAGAAGAGAAATGAGGTGGTTACGGTCGTAGTCAGAGCCTGTGTCCTGGACACTCTAGCAAGTCAGGGCTCTGCCACCCATTCTTGACTGTCAACTAAAGAGGCACACGAATAGTAAAAACAGAAAAAGGTTTGTTTAGTGTGGCCACATTGGAGAGAAGGACAAAAGCATCAGTAACTACCACCAAGTCTGTCTTTGGGATCTTGACATGAGATTTAGGTTCACATACAGGGACAGAGGCATTAATAAACAGTTCCTGTCCTTGCCCACCGTGATTGTCTCAGCTCCAGTCTCGTCTAGCAAGGTGGTCTAACATGTTGGAAAAACCATAAAATTTCTCTCCAAGAGACAAGTTCATTTTCTGGCTGCCACCAAACTTCAGCCATTTTCTTCTCCCAGCATGAAATGATTGGGGTAATTTCAACTTTGCTGGGATGTTGTTTCAAGTCTGATAGTCCAAGTGTCTCTTTAGAATATTTTCATTTCTTCCAGGTCAAGCAGAACCTCCTTGGACTCAGATGTCCAATGTGGCCCTCAGCCAGATACAAAATAAACTTAGAGAGAGAGAGAGAGAGAGAGAGAGAGAGAGAGAGAGAGAGAGAGAGAAGAAGAAGAAGAAGAAGAAGAAGAAGAAGAAGAAGA